TGTTATAGCTCAGCTTAGCCCAGAGAACTAGCTCCAAGTAAATTGAATACAAAAATAGAAGGAAACTGCGCTTTGAGTGCGTGTAAAACGTTGCAATTAATTTTATTTATTTGTTCTGCCTGCTGGCGCGAAAGTCCTTTGCTCAATTGCTGGATGCCTGCTGGCTGTTGGCTGTTCGATATTGGCGGAGTATTGGACTCACCTGGCGCCGTTTGCTCGATGTGTATGCGTCCTTTGTGCTCGCGTATTATTTCGCCTTTCGGCGATTTCCAGTGCAGCTTCACATCCGGACCGGGGCCGCGGCACTCGACAATGAGGGATTCGTTGGTGTAGCGCACGACGCTGTGCTCGCTCGGACTGAGCGTCAGGCTGTCATGGTGATTGGCCAAGACGGCGGCTGTGTTTGGCGAGGGAAATATACAAAAGCGAAATCAATGGGGTTTCAAGCACATTAGTTAATGGTTCGTTAATTGCAACTGCAGCTGCAGCTGCACAAAAGCCAGCGCATTTCAAATGTAAATTGAAAACCTCTGTGCCAAAGTTTACCCAGGCGCGCCGATTTCACCCACCCTCCCCCCAGTTCCCTCCCCTTGATAGAAGTTTGCCGACAGCAGTGCGTTTTTCTTTGCCAACTACGCAAATGGCACAATACATTATAACTTATACACACACACTTACGTATATATGTTGCCTCTTAATGTATTTTGTGAGCAATCCCAACGGCCACATTTAAAACTTGCTCCAACGCAAACTAAATAATAAATATTTTACTACATTTCATATTTCTGATTGCAGACAGCTAGCTCCTCTCTTGCCACGGCCACTTATCGTTCAAAGCTGTCGTCAAAATGTTAATGATAATTGCCCAGATTCGTGGAATTCCCAAAGGAGCATATATTGAATATTAAAGAAAGTTTGAGTGAATGAAGAGTCGAGGGAAATGAATAGAAAAAATTGCCGAAGGACTGAAAAGACGATGTGAATATCTTAATATATGACGGCATGAATATATTACTATGTGCATGTGCCCTTCTATTCGAATTTCATATGTTTATTTTTCAATAATTGAAGATGAAGCCTGTTGGAAGACATGCAAATATTAATTTTAATGGAATAATTTATGATGTATGCAAAGGGACTAATCAGCTATACAATTCAGCAGAATACCGACTTAAGCTCGTTTGCTTTGAAGTAGCTTAAATTCCCACAGCATGGTCTACAAATGAATCCAGTATCAATTAAATTATGTAACTTAATTATTGAAATATTATTTGGTTACTCAAGCAGCATCTGCACCTGCATTGTGTGCAGCTGCAGTTAGTGAAGTAATCAAGTCTTGTTCTTGCTCATGTTTATTAATGTGATGCAAATTACACACAAACTGGAAGAAATTGAGAAAATGCAATTTGTGTTAGATTGCAATTACCGGCTAATTGGCCGTGTTTGCAACTATGCCGAAAATATGTTGCTGTTGCGCAAAGACATTCTGCAAGTAGCTGCTGCATGCCACATGAATCACTCATTTTTGATTCATATTGAACAACAAATTGCACTCAAATTATTTGCATGCTGCATGCCACACATTTTCATATTTTCATTCAACGTTAGGGCGCCGAGGCGGCCGTAGACGTAGCCGTTAGCGTAGGTGTGGCCCTAGCCGTAGTTGCCTTGGCAGGTTGTTCATTGAAATTTATCACAAGAAATTGCAATTTCATTCTGCCGCTTCATGTCAATCTGTTCAACAGCAACAACAAATGCTACTATATCAACAAGAGCAACAACAACAACAAAAACAAAAATGAAATGAACACCTCCTGCCCCTGGTTGGAGTAAAAATTTCTAGCATACTTTTTAATAAAGTTTCTTGTATGCCCAAAGTGCCAGAAAAAGGGGAAAAAAAAAACAAAGTAAGATTCACCATCAGGACACAGGGCACAGTCGGGCAGAGGCTGGCACAAGTTTTGCATAGAGTTTCTTTCTACATTTTTCAGTGTTCTTTTTTCAATTTTGTATTCAAAGAAATTGCAATTTTATTGGCAACAAAATG